TCTCCCGCTAATTAATAATTCTTCTCCATATGCAAGATTCATATGGGTTACTAATTAATAATTGTGGGCCAAAATTTTTGGAAGTCGGTGAGAGGGTCTTATCCTAGGCAATTTATATCATGTACCGGGGCGTACATTGCATTATGCATTTTGTTACAAAATGATATCGTTTTGTATTTTTCTATTTTTTTTTAATTTTTTTTTTTGTTTTTCCGTGTTTGCTATTAACTTGTTAAAAAAAAATAAATTCATGTTTTGAAAATGTACATAATTGTATACTAAAATGTACATAATTGTATATGAGAATGTACATATATATAAGTTTAAGTTCTCGTGCGGGTGAATGCTTCCAGTGCGGTTGTGTGGGTGATTAATGTGCGTGAGTTTTGTACTTAATATATGTGCGTGAGTCTTATGCTTAAGGTTTGTGCTTAATATGCGTGAGTGTATAATGCTTAATGTGCGTGAGTTTTGTACTTAAGGTGCGTGAGTCTTGTGCCTAAGGTGCGTGAGTTGTGTGTGAGTGTGTACTTAATGTGAGTTGTTGTTGAAACTTTAAAGTGCATGAGTTTTGTGCTTAATGTGCGTGAGTTTTGTGCTTAAGGTGCTTGAGTCTTGTGCTTAAGGTGGGTGAGTTTTGTACTTAATGTGCGTGAGTGTGTACTTAATGTGAGTTGTTGTTAATACTTAAGGTGCGTGTATTTTTGTGCTTAAGGTGTGTGAGTTTTGTGCTTAAGGAGCGTGATGGTTGTGCTTAAGATGCGTGAGTTTTGTGCTTAAGGTGCGTGAGTTTGTGTTCTGAATGTATTTTGTTTGTGTGTTTAATGTGCGTCTGTTGTGTACTTAAAGTGCGCCTGTGTAATTCTTAATGTGAGTCCACCCGCACAACCACACGGGAAGCACCACCGGCACTTGATCCGTTCCATATATATATATATATATATATATATATATATATATATATATATACACACACACACACACACACACACTCACAAGTGTTATGTCGCAAATTATGTTGTGCAACCGTATGGTGCACACGGTTGTAAAACGACACCGTTTAATATGATGGAGTGACGGTGCTATTAGTGGCACCGTTTAACTCCACCAATCAAATAAATTTTTATTTATTTATTTATTTATTTATTTTTTTACAAATACTCCAATCGTCATGTAATTATGAATATATAGTTATGTAAGTCTGAACATATAGTTATAAAGTTATGGATATATAGTTATGAAGTTATGGATAAATAGTTATAAAGTTATGGATATATAGTTATGAAATTATGGATGCGTAGTTATGCAATTATGAATATAGTTCTCTGTGAACACGCACTTTAAGAATTCTGAATATGGAGTTATGTAATTATGAATGTCTAGTTGTGAAATTATGAATATATAGATATGAAATTATGAATGTTTAGTTATTATTTCTGAATGTACTGTTGTCAAATTATGAATATATAGTTATGTAATTCTGGATATATAGTTATGAAATTATGGATATATTCTACTGTTTGAATACGAAAGGAAACCGCCTAACGCCGTTAATGACAATCCAAATGTAATTTTTTTTTTTTTTAAATGAAAGCATGATGCACACGATTACACTGCATAACGATTGGTGTCACGTAAAGCAAATACGGAGTATATATATATATATATATATATATATATATATATATATATATATATAATATGTTATACACAGAAGCAAACAAAGTGGAGTATTTTATATATGTATATTATGTACACCCACGCTGACAATGGAGTAATTAGAAAACAAAACAAAAAACTTAGCCATGTTAATTATACTCTGACACACGCAAGGAAAAAAAAACTTCCTAGTCGACGCACAATCGTTATACCCTACACCACGGCACTCGTAGTACTATGCGCTGCGCTCCTCCCAAAACGACGTCGTTTTGGGAGGCGCGGAAGAAAGTTGCTGTGATTATGTATATTTGTTCATATAATTATATATATTTGTTCATACAATTATGTATATTTGTTCATACAATTATGTACATTTTTTATACAATTATGTACATTCTTTTTATACAATTATGTACATCCGAATCAGAAAATTTTTGTGCATTATGTTAAGAGTTTATGTGTATTGTGTTAAAATTTTATGTTTATTATGTATCATGTTAGATTATGTGTATTATCTTTTAAAAAACAGTATGTATATTTTGTTATACAATTATGTACATTCATGTATACAATTATGTACATTCATGTATAACATTATGTACATTCATGTATAACATTATGTACATTTTTGAACATGGGTTTTTTTAAAAGAAAAATTAATTGTCAAACACTGGGGCGGGAAATTTCAAAAAAAAAATAAAAATTGAAATGACGTCGTTTTGCATCTGGGCGCATAATGCAACGCGCGCCGTGGTGTAGGATATAAATTGTTGTTGACGCATGTGTGTAGACACAAAATTTGAAGCCGGCAAATGAGCGGATTAGAGCGGAAGGATATAAATTGCTGTTGACGCATGTGTGTAGACACAAAATTTGAAGCCGGCAAATGAGCGGATTAAATTATTATTTTTTAAATGATACTGGCTATCTGTTCATATACTTTCTCAACCTACTGAAACACAAAGAACCAATAACGCCTCCACTTAAGCTCGAACTCATAACCTTCCAAATGGAAGTCTAATCCGGGTACCATTAGACCACATAGTCTTGAATTAATTAATTTAATTTAATTAATCCAATTAAATTTGATTTTTGATTAGTGAATTAATTAATTAATCCAAGTTCAATTCATATTTGAATTTAATAATTATTATAATTAAATTTAAATATAATTTTATTATATTTGAACTTGATAATTATAATTTAATTTGAATTATGTGATATAATATGAACCTAGACATGATTTTGGCAAGGTTCATTTTGGATAAAATTCTTAGTATTTATCGTAAATAATTAATTATTTTATTTGAATAAATATTAAGGGGCAATTTATATTGTGCACCACGGTGCGTTCAATTGCTGATGTCACTCCGCCCGTCCAAACGGCCCAAAATCCATTATGTGTATTCAGTTAAAAGTTTCTGCATATTGTGTTATGAGTTTCTGTGTATTCAATTAAGAGTTTCTGTGTATTGTGTTCTGAGTTTCTGTGTATTCAATTAAGAGTTTCTGTGTATTCAGTTAAGAGTTTATGTGTATTCAGTTAAGAATTTCTATGTATTCAGTTAAGAGTTTCTGTGTATTATGTATCATGTTAGATTATGTGTATTCAATTATGAGTTTCTGTGTATTCTGTTATGAGTTGATGTGTATTTGAAACAAATGATTTTTTTTTTTTTTTTTTTTTTGACAATGCACCAAAAAGACGTCGTTTTAGGTAGTAGGGCGGGGGGGGTACACAATGCATTGTGTGCCCTGGTGCACGATATACCGACTGATATTGGGGAGTTTGTTGAGTGTACAAATTCCACCATAAATAGAGCTTCCACTTCATTCTTTAAATTACAACTTGAAGATTTTGAAGGCACTTGAAGGCATTGAAGGCTCTTGAAGAGTTGAAGGTCCACTTGAATCCCAGAGGAACACGCCACTTAAATCTCGAAAGCACATGCCACTTGAGTCTCGGAAGCACACGCCACTTGAATCCTAGCTTGAACCCCGAAGGCACACGCTACTCACTACAAGAAAAATGCACATAGACAACACTAGAAAGACAACAGTCTTTAAGAAAAGTGTTGTCTTTTGTATAAAAGACAACAGTTTGGTCCAAAACCGTTGTCTTTGATGCAACACTTTTGTCAAAGACAACGGTTTTTACTTAACCGTTGTTATAAGTGTGTTGTCTTTGTGCATTTTGTGAAAAGACAACACCACAACGACAACGGTTCTGTGTACGTTTTTTTTTTAAATAAGACAATGGTTTTTTTAATTGTTGCCATTGGTGTGTTGTCTTTAAGCGCACTGGAATACACAACACTAGAAAGACAACGGTTGTTTAAAACCGTTGTCTTTGTGCGCTCTTTTTTTAAAAAAAAAAAAAAAAAAGACAACGGTTTTATTTAACCGTTGTCGTTGGTGTGTTGTCGTTAAGCGCAATCGAATACACAACACTAAAACGACAACGGTTTTATATAACCGTTGTCTTTGCATGTTCTTTATTTGTTTAAGACAACGGTTTTATTTAACCGTTGTCTTTGGTATGTTGTCTTTAAGTGCATTTGAATACACAACACTATAAAGACAACGATTTTAAAAAATCGTTGTCGTTGCGCATCATTATTTAACATGTATATAAAATAAAAACAAAAATGTTAACTAGAAAGCGGGCAAGGAAGTCAAAAAGCTTGAGTTGAACTCCTCAAGTATGCCTAAGTCGTTATGGCTACTTTACTGTTATTACAAGCGTGCACTTGGGAATGGAGAGAGTTTACAAATATTGCTAGATAATAATGTCTTCGGATCGAGTAGAATGTACTCTCTTTGTGCACGACGAAGATGTGACTCATTTTTGTCAATTGATGCCAATATCGTACACGTGTATTGCTGTCTACATATGGTATGATTTAATATATATTTCGAGTCAATTTGATAACTTATCACTTCTATGCTTTGTTCTTCTAATTCAGTTTCCATTCCAATGTTAGGTATTTGTATAACAAGATGATGGAAGAGAACAAGCTTGAGAAATTCAGATTTATGCAGCCAAGTGTTGTAGGGCATCTGCCAACGAAAAGAACAGATACAAATTTTCTAGAAAAACAATTGGAAAGCAGGGCACGAGCTTTAGCAAACAGACTGATGGACATTCCAAGTGATGCAACACTTTTGGTTCCATGTAATATAGGGTAAGAATGGTTACAATTATACTTTCAATTGCATATATTATTTTGTGCTGATGTAATATATAATTATGTGTTTGTGCATAGTTTCCATTGGATTCTGACAGTTATCAACGTCACTAAGGACTTAGTTTATGTGTGGGACCCTCTTAGTCATCGCAA